CCTTTTTTACTGCTGCATAGTATTCCATGGTATAAATGTACCACAGCTTTTTTATCCACTCATCTACTGATGGGCACTTGGGCTGTTTACAGATCTTAGCTATTGTAAATTGTGCTCTATGAACATAGGGGTGCATACATTCTTTCTGATTGGTGCTTCGGGTTTTTTAGGATATATTCCTAGAAGTGGGATCACTGGGTCAAATGGCATTTCCATATTTCATTTTTTGAAGAAATGCCATACTGTTTTCCATAATGGTTGCACCAGTCTGCATTCTCACCAGCAGTGTAGTAGGCTTCCCTTTTCTCCACATCCTCAGTAGCACTTGCCATTTGTTGATTTGTTGATGGTAGCCATTCTGACAGGTGAGATGATACCTCATTGTCATTTTGATTTGCATCTCTCAGATGATTAGTGACTTTGAGCATTTTTCATATGTCTCTTGGCCATCTGTCCTCTTTGGAGAAGTGTCTATTTAGATCCTTTGCCCATTTTTTAATTGGATTGTTTGTCTTCCTTTTGTTAAATTGTATGAGTTCCTTACATATTTTGGATATTAACTTTTTTTTTTTAATATGGAATGCTTCATGAATTTGCATGTCATCTTTGTGCAGGGGCCATGCTAATCTTCTCTGTATTGTTTTAGTATATGTGCTGCCGAAGCGAGCACTTGGATATTAACTCTTTATCAGATGTATCATTGCCAAATATGTTCTTCCATACAGTAGGCTCTCTTTTCGTTTTGTTGGTGGTTTCTTTTGCTGTGCAGCTTTTTATTTTGATGTAGTCCCATTTGTTTATTTTCTCCTTAGTTTCCTTTCTCTTAGGAGATGTATCTATAAACATATTGCTACGAGAAATGTCTGAGATTTTGCTGTCTATGGTTTCTTCTAGGATATTTATGGTTTCGTGACTTACATTTAAGTCTTTTGTCCATTTTAAGATTATTCTTGTGTATGTGTAAGTTTGTGGTCTAGTTTCATTTTTTTACATGTATCTGTCCAGTTTTCCCAACACCATTTATTGAAGAGACTGTCTTGACTCCATTGTATGATCTTGCCTCTTTTGTCAAATATTAATTCTTACGTTTAAGTCCTTTATCCATTTTGAGTTTATTTGTGTGTATGGTGTAAGTTGGTGCTCTAGTTTCATTTTTTTACATGTATCTGTCCAGTTTTCCCAACACCATTTATTGAAGAGACTGTCTTGACTCCATTGTATGCTCTTGCCTCTTTTGTCAAATATTAATTGAGCATAATGACTTGGGTCAATTTCTGGGTTCTCTGTTCCATTCCATTTATCTATATGCCTGTTTTTGTGCCAGTACCAGGCTGTTTTGATTATGGTGGCTTTGTAGTACAACTTGGAATCTGGTATTGTGATTTCTCCAACTTTGTTTTTCTCACATTGCTTTTTATTTTTTTAATAAATATATTTTATTGATTTTTTTACAGAGAGGAAGGGAGAGGGATAGAGTTAGAAACATCGAAGAGAGAGAAACATCAATCAGCTGCCTCCTGCACACCCCCCACTGGGCATGTGCCCGCAACCAAGGTACATGCCCTTGACCGGAATTGAACCTGGGACTTTTCAGTCTGCAGGCCAACGCTCTATCCACTGAGCCAAACCGGTTAGGGCCTCACATTGCTTTTTAAACACAGTCTGTAGAAGTTATTTAAGTAATTTGAGAGGTCTTGAAATAAGTTTATTCATTTTTGGTTTTGTATTTTGTGTTTAGTCTAAACAAAATTTGTTCAGGTTTTCACAGGTGAAACAGACAAGACGGATCATGTCCACTTGCTTTTGGGGACCATCAATAAGCATATGTTGAGGACATCCTTCACTGGCCAGGTTCTGAATTCTGTCTTGTGCTGGAGAAGCAAAGAGAGAGTATTGCGAAAAGGATGATGGCTCTTGAATTCCTGAGTCAAAATCTAAGTCTTTTTCTCAATACCTGGAATAAAATAAAACTCGAGTTCCCATTTCAGACATAGAAGAGCTTAGAACCATGGAAAAAAACACATGCTTCGGAACGAAACAGAACTGTTATCATTTAATTGAAGAATTTGAGCCTCAGTTTTCTCATCTGTAAAAGGGATGGCAGTTTGTTAAATTGGTTGAAAGGATTAAGTTAGACAAGGTATGTGAAATGTTCACAGGACTGCTCCACAACGTTGACAGCACAC